GGGGGGGTGGTTCTCAGGTTTCACTAAGGTAGGGAACCCCGAAGGTTCTTCCCCAGTGAAACGCCGTGCACAGCTGAGGAGCAGCAGCCAGCAGCAGCAGCAGCTCGGATGGATCCACTTACCCGAAGGCACGAAATGAAGAACTTTGTTGGTCTCCATGGCTGAAGCAAGTGGTGGCCGAATGCACACTTCCTCTCTCCAACCGCCTCCCCCCCCCCGAGTCAACCCATCATGGTTGTGTTATCCTGTGCTGATGAGTGTGAGATCACCTCTGCTCCCTGCGCTCTGCTCTGTTTCTGACTGAAGCTCAGACACATGCAGTGACTCAGCCCCACTCCGCCTGCTGCCTACTCACGCTGCAGCCACTGGGTCCTAGTGCCTCCGCTGCTTCCCTCCCATGTTCCCTCCCATGTTCCCTCCCAGCCTATGGCGGCTCGTTGCACGGCGAGACACGCCCCTTCAGTTTGGGCGAAAGGAATTTCAGAGACGATTCGGCATATCTCAGATCGTCCACCAACGTGCGTTTTGTTTCGACAAGCCAAGAATAGAATGATGGAATCCTGAGTGTTGATATGTCCTGCGATAATAGCATGTAAGGTGGAATTTTATTTTGAAAAGCCAGCGTGTCGCAAACCTTTAAAAAAAAAAACTCGGCTTATCTCACTCCGGGCTCATCCATCAACGACGTGCGTGCACTTTTGTTTCGACAAGTCAAGAATAAAACGATGAAATTTTGAGTGTTAATATGTGATAATAACGCGTAAGGTAGAATTTTATTTTGAAAAGCCAGCATGTCGCAAACTTAAAAAAAAATACTTGGCTTATCTCTCTCCGGGATCATCCATCAACAATCATGCTGCACTTTTGTTTCAAGACAAGAATAAAATGATGACATTTTTGAGCGTTAGTATGTCCTGCAATAACAACACAAGACAGAATTTTATTTTGAAAAGCTGGCATGTTTCAGAAACCTTTTAACGTCTTTGAGCTTTTACTTTGAAAGTGTATCGATCAACCAATCAGCTGTGAGTCCCTGGCTGCTTGCAGTGAGCAGAGCAGCAGACTGATGATTAGACCCTCCAACAAACGGTCACAGCTTGAAAACTACAAGTCGTATCAAAAAATTCTTAGGAAGGTTAGAGACACTCAACGTTTCTGATTTTCAGCTGAAATTTTGGAGTTGCCGACATAATTTTGGTCGACACACTCTGCGCTCCGAGGTGATTTATGAAAAAACGACAAATCCTGTGGTCATGAGAGTTGCTGATGTATTTATGTATAAATCGTTTGTGTAGAGGAAACGAGCTTAACTGCACTGTCTCACTAAAATGTATTTGGTGAAAACTTAGCATGGCTGACTGGCAGGTGAAAAATGTAGGTTTTTCAAAAGATGTTTAAAACTTGAACTGCAACTGCGTCAAAACCAAAACGACATCAAACCACGGATTTAAATGAGTCACATATAAAGCCTTGTGACTCGTGTAACGAAGTTTTGTTGTAAAATAAAACACGAGCAATAAATGAATAATTGAACCAGCAGGGCTTTAGAAGGACTCGCAGTTGGAACCACAGACTGTATAAAAGATGGACGTAGCTACCGTGACATCACCCGTTGGTTTCTGCACTAAGACAATGAAGCCAGGGTTTTGCTACTTCCTGGTTGACATCTTGGATTTTTGGAGCCAGTGACGCAAAAATCGTCAGAGGGGGGCGGAGCCATAGGAGCAGCGATTGGTCAGATGGATTGAGAGGCCCTCTCTGCCCGCCCACGTTTACCACCTTCTGCTCGCTTCATCTGTATCGTCGCTGCCAACTGTCAATCAAGCCAGCCATGCCCCTTGCCCCGCAAAATGTTGACGATTTTTTAAAAATTCAGTATTGACTTATTTTCAGATTGGCCACCTGATCTCTGGATTTGACCATGAAAACTAATAAGAAAAAAATCCTGAGCTGTAGGAATGCGGTATTTCGTGATCTGTGATCACTTCTTTTCCAGTTCAAGTCTATGGGAACCAGGGCTTCTATGGGAGCCAGGGCTTTTTGGAGCCAGCAACTAGTGGACGTAGTGATATTGCAGGTTTTTGACACTTCCAGGATGGCTTCATGTTTCAGGGCCGGTTGCTACGTCCATCTTTTATACAGTCTATGGTTGGAACATATGACTGGAATGAAAACCACTGCTGCATGTTAAGCCAGCATCTTTCCTGCAGGCGTCTATACTGTCAGCCGCCGAACAAAATGCCAAAAGATAACCTCAGCGTGTTCGCCGCGATCACAACTGACTCATGCATGACTTCGTCTCGATGTGAGATGGAACGCGATGGCGGAGATTTGCTGGTGTTCGTGTGAGGCGGCTGGAAACGGAAAGCAGATATAAAATAATTCAAAGAGCGAACCGCAGTCAGAAGCTGCTGCTTATTTTCAGTGACGTTTTTTCTACTGAAGCCAGACGTGTTAAAACATGGGTGCAGACAAATCCATCATGGCTCCCTGAACTGGCAGAGGCTGGGATCACATCAGTGTTGACACTTGTGCATGGAGCTGCCAGGATCTCCAGCGTTGCATGATGTCAGGTAGCCTCGTCTCTGGCCAAAAACACAAGCTGCTGCTGCCGCCGCCGCCGAGGGCTGCTCGCTGATCCAGGCTTTTTAATTGTAGTTATTGTGAAGTCGCACGAGGCAGAGACACAATCGGTTAATTATTGTTTGTGCTGAAGACCCGCAGGTGTGGTCTCACGTTGAAATGCAGAACAAGGAGTTCAGCAGCTATGCAAACATTGGTAAGCAGTGATGTATGATAATGTACGATTTAAACAGAAACTGACTTTTTTAAAACTGAACTAATCAAATTAAAATATTGAATCCAATATTCAGCATTTTTTAAATCTGCATTTTTCTGTCAAGTTAAGATAAGTTCAATTAAAAATGTGCTGTTTTATTATATTACATAAGGTGCGATCTTGCTCTAACACGGTGCAATTTTATCTTTATTTTTAATCTATTTCTGTAATGACTTTGTGCTCTTTTGTTGTATGCTGCTAACCCTGAACTGCCCTCTGTTGTTGTTTAACAATGACAATAAAGATCTGTTCTATTCCTTTCTATACAAATGTAAACCATAGAGGGCATTTCAACAAAGTTTTGTGCTGGAGTTATCTAACATTTTTCTACAACAACATTTTGAGTTTTTCTACTCATGTATTTCAGTTCCAAATGTCACTTATTTGTCTCCTTTATCAATAACAATCAGACATATTATTGGTCCTGACAAAAACATATTACTTAATCCCTAATTTAAAATGACTCTTTTGTGCAAAGCTGTTAACAAAAATGGTCATTCATGCAGTAAACTCACACAAAGACACTAAAAAAGATCTAAAATCCTCGTCAGGTTTGTATTTTTATCGTCCCTATGACCCCGATCACCAACATTACAACTTGACAGCTAATAGTTTTGACATTAAAGGTCAGTTTTCGTCTCTTCAACATCACCACAGCCTCCGTTTGTAATTTTACCAGCATCAAACCCACTATTACCACCAGCTCCAAGCACAACTGCCACAATTAACCATTAATACTTCAACTATTCTCTCTGTTGTTGCAGCTACGATGTGCACGTCTGCTACAGTTCTGATTCCCTAATTAGAGCAAAGAAAAGCATCTATAGGCTTTGCCTTATGAAACTGCTCTGCAAAGCTAAAACACAGCAACGACAATGAAGCTGCAACAATTAATGGATTAGTTGTCAACTCTTAAATTATCCAACAACTATTCAGACAGATGAAAAATCAACTGGATTGAGTGATTTTTCAAGTAGAAAAATCTGAATTCTCTGAATATTTTCTGGTTTATTTCCTCCTTTATAGTAGTAAACTGGATATCTTTGGGTTCGTGGACAAAACATTTGTCATCTTGAAAGAAACACTGATGGACATTTTTCACCATTTTCCAAACATTTTTCAGACTAAACAACTAATTAATTGATCAAAAAAGTCATTGACAATGAAAATGATTTAATTTTGCAGCCCTACTTTCCACATATGACTAGTTTTGATGAATATAATCACTTTATTCTTCACTTTTTAAGCACCTTTACCAAGAAAAGCACCTGTAGAATGAGTTATCGTCATCTTGCTTTGGGACTGGTGGACATTTTTCTTAATTTTCTGACATTTTATCGACCAAACAATTAAAAAATTCATCCAGAAAACAATCGACAAGGAAACTAATTATAAGCTGCAGCTTTAAAACTACACATATGAGGTGATTTCACACCAAAACGCCACATAAATGGACAATTTTTGAGAAAAAAAATTTAGAATAACTTAATATATTAACCAAGAAAGTCATTGACAATTAAAATTATTTAAATTTCCACCCGTTTTCCACATATCAACTTTACTTTTTAAAAACCTTTACCAAGAAAAGCACCTGTAGAATCAGTTATCGTCAGCTTGGGCTTTTTCATTTCTGACATTTTATCAACCAAACTACTAGTCATTGACATTACAAACATAAAATTGCAGCCCTAAACTACACATATAGTAATTTTAGACTAGAAATCTTTATAAATGGACAATTTTTGAGAAAATAAAAACATAAAAATTACAATACTTTCTAAAACCAAACAGCAGTGCCTGGAAAACCACCGTTAGAAGGGAGCTGTGCTTAATATTTAATATATAATTAGCAGTAAAGATTTCAGATTTGCATCTTTAACTCAACCTTTCTGGTTATTTCCACTGTTTTACGACTCGAGTAAATTTAAATCACAAAAACGCCGCCTTTTACGGCGTCAGATTTACGTGGCTCTCTGCGACGTGGTCCTGACCAGTTTGGTTCAGTTTATAAATCCACAAGACACAGAGGCTATTGGATCAAAAAGTTAATTTCTCACCCTGATGTAAATGCTCTGTGAAAGGTCAGTCATTTGCATAAGCCTGCAAATATAACATCACTGTGTGTGGTATGGCCGGTGGCTCTGCTTTGCATAAGAACTGCTCTGCACTGCGAGGGCAAATGCGTCACTCAGTGAGCCAGGGCGCTTTCTCCCCGGAGGACAACTCGAGTGTTCTCACCCTGCACACTCCTGCAGCTCAGGTGTAAAGACGCCGCGCTCAAACATCAAAAAACCGCGCGGCCGCGATGCCGCCCGAGTCCCGCTAAATGTCAATAAGAGCAGCGGAGGTGACAAGCTGCATAAACACGAACCCGTCGTAC